GGTAGGGCGTAAGTTTCCACCAAAGCAAAAATGTTTACAATAAAAAGAGAAGATGGCTTACTTTTGTCGTACACTCTGGCAGCACACGTTCACGTCAAGAGGTGGTTGTTTTACGGAAACAGTCAACCACGAATTTAGTTCGTCTAGAGGAAGGCGAGTAAGTGCATGAGCCGGTGGATGACGCATAAGTTCTGTAATGTGAAGAGATTCACTTCGTCAGTATCAAAAAGAGGAAGCAAGAAATATGTCGAACAATCGACTTTCATTGAACATCAACAGAAAAAAATCAGTACTATTCTAGTTCATACCTTTGCATTTGACTGTTTTTAAAGTCCTCGCTCAACACAGTATATAATCTGCTAAAATATCTGAGCCTATCATGAGGGCCTGTTATAGCACTTGTACGGTGCTAAACACGTGTTTCGGCACTACGGCCTTATCAGTAGCACGGTGCCTTTCGGTTCAGCCAATCCCTTGCAGGGAACAAACCCTCTGCGTATAAAGGAGTCGATGCCAGAATTCGCTTGTCAGGTGATGAAATCGCACGACATTACAGTGTCTATCGGTCGATCACTCATGGCTGGTAAAGTGAATCATACCTTTGCATTCGACTGTTTTACGGACCTGTTTTCCTCATAGACCATGACCGATCGACTGCTGGTCTCTGCAATGTCGGGAATTTTATCACTTGACATGCGGTGATCTGTTGGTTCGGAGTCGATTCCTTCATATACATCGAGTTTAACACCTGCAAGGGGTTGGCTGAATCGAAAGGCACAGTATTGCTGATAAAGTTGTAATGCCGAAGCACGTGTTCAACACTGTATAAGTGTCATAACAGACCTCATGATAGGCTCAAGATATGTTATCAGATTCCACACTATTCTTATTATTGAACAACACGGGGCTGGTGAAAAGATTTGATCACATGGATAACGTTTCGGCGCCTCTGCCTTCCTTGAGCAAGCTGTCTCGATCCTAGTCGTCGACCTACAGCTGACCATAATCGAGATCTGGGTATCTTTCGTCTGTTGAGTCGATTTCAGAAAAGGATTATTACCATACTGCCAGATACTCTTTTCCATGCGTATACACTATCAGATCTTCAAAATTCGGCAGCGTAAATACGGAAGTAAACAAAGAATTAGAAAATTGATGACAAATTTACTTTTTGGTTATAAATGAAACTCTAAAATGGTAAGTAAGTAAAGGGTGACAAGATAAAGGCGACATTTCAACTTCCTTCCGTGATATCTGAAGTGATCTGTTATAAAAATGGGCCGGTCAACCGAGAATCGCTCATCCTATGACTGCTAGTGCAACCACCTGGAAGCACTGATTTATCCATGAGCTATTGCTCCGATATCACCGCATGTGCCTCAATGGCGAGATCATGGGTGATTGCCGATAAAGACAAATACGCTCGAAACATGAGTGAGAGAAAGACAAAGCGAGGACATCGATTTGGCTGTGCGAAACACATGAGTCCACGAAAAAGATTATCACTGGGTCTAAGCAACTTCAGATACCAAGTTTTGCTCGTATTCGAGCATTTCTGTGGTTGTACTTCACATCGTCCCCTACCACGCAAAAACAATAGGCCATAGACGAAAATCTTCAGAGATCAGCGTTTTAACAGAATTTCAATTATAGCGCAAATCTGTGGCTGATGAGTGGGGCAATGATTCTTAGTACTGCAAGCCTTCGTCGTCGCCAGTTATAAGTTGATACAGTGTGAAGATAGTGGATTTCTGTTCAAAATAATTCAAAAACCCTCATCAATTTTCGGCGCAATAATTGAGAATTATCTCACAACCCCTTTACTATGCAAAGATTAAGCGATGTTGGCAGAACTTCTCAAAATTTATGGCTAACTTTTCGGCGATTGCGGCTTTCTCAGAACCGTTAGATCACTTGTATGGGGAAAGGTCACCTGCGTGTAACCGCATAAGGCAGAAAATTTTTTCTTCATAGTTTTATTCAAAAATTGAGATCGAAAAGCTCAGTCTCTTTACGGTATGTGTCAGCACGCTGGCGACCTTTCCCATATAAGTATGTGAGAGATTTTCATTCGTGCAGAATGAATAACTCAGAAAGTCATTCAGGATTAGTTTATCAAGCTTCCTGGTGCTTGCAAATTGCATCAGCTTTTGAGAAACCTTCACATTCTTGCATTTTCTTCGGACGATCACTGAGATGATATACCTGATTGTAATTTTTGAGTCATGTATGTGGTCTGTTATGGGCACTTATACAGTGCAATACACGTGTTTCGGCCTTGCAGCCTCGTCAGTTGTACGATGTCTTTCGTCTGAGCCAACCCCTCTTGGGGAAGAATCTCCTTGCGTAAAGGAGTCGCTGACGAACGTTTTTACACGCGCCGATAAGTGATAAAACCATCGCAACGGTTATGTTGTACACTCGATTGCTTCTGGCGTAATCGTAAAATGTGATACTTTGGTTTGAGTGTTTATTGTCACCGCGCTCAAATTTCGACATACCTAATACTTATTTTTGGTTTTTCTTCTCAAAAAAAAGCAAAGCTATGAGGCATACTGAAAAATTTGAGCGTGGCTACAGATAAACACTAGAAATGAGAAGTTTAATAGATCACTAAGAAAGTATTCTAAAAATCTTTTCTCTGGCAACCCTGTTCTGCCATAAGAAAGGTATTTTCATGAGGTTTGAAGACGAAAGATAACGTAGTCAGTGGCTGTCAACGACTGAGCAATGTGCCAGGCATCTATCTTCACTGAGTATGAGGAAGAGAACAAATATTTATATGTGACCTATAACAATGGACTTATGGAAATCTGCCTATGTAACACCTCAATGTTTCCTTTCGCCCTATGACCTTAGGTGATTGGTGGACTTGTACTAGCTAATGACGAAACTGGATTTGAAGACCAAATATGCATTGCAAGATACCACTGTGCTACACGTGTGACCATGCAAAGTGATCAGCCTATGCTGCTTCGCTTAGATATGTCAATATGAGCGTTACTCAGTCACATGCTTTTGTTGCTCTCAAACAAAACAACAAATAACGAGGGCTTACTGTTTTTGAGAAGACTATGACAATTGTCGATATTGCCACGAAGTCGCTGACGCTCAATAGCGAATGCATCGCTACCCACAATCACCAACGATAATCCTATCAGATCTGAAATCAGATATATGATCCTGACAATCAGATATCCTGCAAAAAATGAGCAGGAAATTTGATCGCTCCTGAGTTATAGAAAATTCCGATTTTTTGAACGTTATATATCAAAATTTATACGTACCACAAAGCCGTACACACGTGCAAATTGTCAAAGGTAAGTCGTACGACATAGAAATTGTAGTACTTAGGAATGCCGTGCAATAACACGTAAGATCATTTGTTTGACCTCACATCAAGCCAACATAACCTCTCATCTCTCCAGCATATGAAAACTGGTGACACATTTGTCTGGATAGAGTATCTTCTCAGCCACCTCAACCAACCACCTTATAGTGTTGGCTTTGAGACGCTCTAGCAGAGCTATAGCAGAACCCTAGGAAGATTCAACTCGTGCAACATTCAGTGAGCTTGGTGAAGATCAAAAAATCCTTAAGTCATACCGAAACTTTCACTTTTTATTCTAGAAGCACACAAAATAAAAAAGCACTGGAGCAAATATGCAAATCTGGAGGACTTTGTGGTTTGTGATGGGAGAGAACGAATTCGATGAAAGACACATAACTTTGGTCCATAATATAAGACCATGTCCACTATGATCTTAGATAGGTTGTCTTAAAATTTGAAGCTGTGTTTATTTCGGAGAAAACTGCTTTGTATTCAATGCATGGCGAGCGTACTGATTCAAGGACACAGGAACACATCTTGTGTCAAAGCTAGATAGAAAAGCCTACAATCTGTGAGAATTAGCGAACAAGCAAGGTTGCAGAAGCTTCTCTTATTCCAACGATGTCTTGAATCACTAAAAGCTTGAGTGGAAAACTCCGCTCAGCGAATATTTGGCTGAAACGCATCGATCGCAGAGCTCGATTTTATTTCTACTGCTACAGTGCACTAAAGAAGCTTTTTCAGAAAGTACAGCATTAAAATCGTTGAGAGATAAGTTATCGAATGAGTACTAGAACTCGAGAAGAAGCAGAAAACGCACTAGCCACAGGGGTAGAAAATGTGTGCCGATAACGGAAAAGTACCCTACTAACTTTTATTTGCTGCCTATACAAATAGAAGGATACTGAGATACGAATACAACAAAACGAGTGCGAAGCTCAACTGAGGTTTTGAGTTTAGCTTGTATCTAAGTATGCTTTTCGCTGCATTTCATATCGTGTCCTACCATGAGATAAGAATACAATTTCGATTGTACCATCAGCTTAATTGGGCTTGATACCCGATGTTGTCTTTAAGTCATTTACCTTGACAGGTGATTACTGATGGAACCAATAACAATATTTCATTTCACCAACCGTCGGCAAGATCGTTTTCGAGCATAAACTTAGATATGTCGAAATCGTCTGGTGAATCAAGCTTCAGCGCAGCTTTCGCCGTTCCGAAAACAACGACAGCCATCGGATTCGGTTCGGGGCGAAAGTTTTCTGACGGCTCGTAATTGTGAAGCACCTGCAGAACATTCAATCAAGAGATCTTCCTGAATGGTCACAACAGAATGAGCATATTTTATAAACATTTGTAATTATTTTAAGGCAGTTCTTTATCTTCCTTTGACGAAAGTAGTGCTGAATTTGAGATGGCATCGCTGTTTCTCAAGTATCTGACCACAGTTGCTTCATTTCCGCAAAAATTCGACCTCAGACGTGAACATCACATCACTGCGAAAAAGCAGTAAAAACATAAGAAATCTTAAATATTACGTATTGCAGTGGCTGCCAGCCTAACTAAGTTCATAAAACGATATGTGCTTACTCGACCAAACCTGTTAAAGCTTGGTGGCTGATTCCTTATGATAAAGACATTCAAGAATGGCTGACAGCCAAGCGGTGCCTCGGTGGTGTAGTAATAGCACGCGTCCCTGGCATGGGTGAAAGGCGGGTTCAACTCCCGTCTGAGGTCGCGTTTGCTTACCACTCAATTCTCCTAGGTATACTTGAATTATCTAGTAGTTATTCATGCAGCTACTAGAAAGATACATTTTCACTTGTGACTAACGGAAGAAACCTGATTTGAAATGATGGTGCAAAAAGTTTACATTGGACACAGTGAGTTGCAATGCCAGAGGTGGTTTATATAAACAATAGGAAAGATGTTAGAGATAGAAAGAACATGCCTTGGTTTGTCGTGGAAATCCTGTAATCAAATAGTTTAACGAGCCGAACCCAACATCAATGATGGCAATTGTAAACTCCTCGTCAAATTGCAGCCCGTACCATGTGATTTCTGGCTTGGAACGAATGAAAAACGGTGCCACTGGATTCATGTCGGGATCAGCTTCAATGATCTGTATACTTCCATTTCCAGCTCGAAAATCATGATCACAAGCGCGGTATTCGCCTGAATTGCCTAGCTGAATTATGAAAGTATAAAATTTCTTTAATTATTTTAAATTTCTACCACAGACCTGAATGAGCCTTAAAGATAACTCGCGGAAAAATCTTCAAATTTCTTAGGTAAGCAGCATGATAGGTCCTGACACGAAATAATCTACTTCCAACTGAATGAAAAGCACTGAGTTGTGGTGGTCCGAAGCAATCAACTGGATCGATGTTCCGCCCCTGACACAGGGAGCGGCGCTGCTCTCCAAACCAGAATCTGAATTGAAATATCACCGTCTGAGGCTGATATATAAAGTTTTCATTATATCGAAAAATTGTATCTCCGATTCTACTAAAAATGGCAAAAGCGAGCTACCAACCATGTGAGTCTTAGCTCTAGAATGAATACTTTTCATTTATCAAATTGGAGAACAATATCTTACCCATTTTTCAAAACTTATTTCCTTATACCATTTGAACCTGCACTTATTATACCTTTTGTTAGATCGTCTACTCAAAATTTCTATGGCAAAGATGTAGATGTTCTAGTTGTAACAACCATTCAGTGTAAATGTCGAAATGGCCATGAAGAAGAAACATTGACGTTGAGTCAAAGGGAAGAAATAGGCCACATAACAAAGGCATCGCTCTGCGAAACTCACGTGGGAGGATTGTTACGTTTAGATATCTTCGAAACTGCCCTCTATATCAAATGAAATAAACATCGTTATCAAAATACTGTCTGGAAAACAGTGGATTGGAAAACACTGCAAGAATTATTTAGATTCCAAGTAAAACGTCGCCAATTAGCTCGGAACCGCCTGCATGGCACCTACGCAAGACGGAGGATTGCGTATATGCTTTAAGCGCAGGGACGGAGACTGCATGACTTCAGCTATTCTATACAACGTCTCTTGAAAGCATATGATGGCGATTACATATTCTAAACGGAAAAATACTCTGCTTCGGCGTTAAGGAACACCTAAATGGAAAGTGGAAAAGTCGTCAGACATGTACTCTTTCAGGTACGCATAGTACAGAAAGACACAGCTGTGAGAACTTTAATTGGGTACTAAGATTCCTGGGGCAAAATCAAAAATGTTGCCGCGAAAAGCTCTTGTAACCTTTTGAAAAACTCATGAAGTCCAGGAACGAATAGAAGGGAAGACTGTCTGAACATAACAATTGATGTGGCGCCTAATCTCAGATTTATTCTTCAGTTTGAGCTTAAGGTTCATCTTTCACACTGTGTCACAAAACTTCGGTGACTTTTTGTATGAGCTAAGCGCCAGTCTTCCACACATTAGCCAATCTTCAAAATTATCTGGATTAGATTTTCATCGCATATATGAAATATCAATTGAATGATCAAATATGGTATGATATAGTACGTCTAGGCTTTGGGAAAGGCGAAATGACCGAAACGTTAGTCATCTATTTTGAATGGAGAGATACCAGTATCGTACCAGTTTTATTCAAAATAATGAGAGCTTAAAAGAGCTTAGTCGAGCTTGAATGATCTGTATTAATTTCGATGGTCATGTTCGATGAAGGCCATATGAGCAACGAGTATGAGCATAGTGAACTGGGAGAAGAAATTCGCCTTCTTTCATATCATTATCAACTAGCATCTCTTAGCCTGATGGGCCGACACAGAATGAGGTTTTGTTGGCCACCCCACACTCTGACGTAAACGAGTGGCCATTACAAGTCAGTATCTGTGATTCTTTTCCTTTTCATCAGCACTAACTAAGCTATGTATCGCTCTGCGCAGTCATTTGCACTTAAATTTGATTACATAAAATGAAATTACTTGAAACTGGCTTGCTCATGTCTTTTCCATTCACTTAGTGAGGACCTTTCGAATAAGGTAAATAGAGTTCAGGTGTAAGATATGTTTTGTGTCAGCCATCTGGCGAAGTCTGTGAAGTGTAGTCTTCTAGTATAAGTTGGAAGCCAATCAGGCGATCAGGGTCAACACGACGACTCTGCTCAAGCGCAAATGGAGGAGTCTAAGTCGACTAGCGCACTCCATTCACCCACACAGCTAGAACACAGCGCCGTCAGTCGCCATCTCCTACTCTTAGAGATGCTTAACTTCCAAAAAGCTGAAGTTAAAAACGTACAAAGGCGGTTCGTAAGTTCTTATGATCACTGCTTTTTTTATTCATTCTAAAAGACTCGACTTTGCAACTACGAGGACTTCCATTGCAAGAAAGAAAGGCTATAGCGGTAGCCGATTTGAATCTTTCATGCTGTGTGGAAGACAAAAGCGCTGGGATTCTAAGTACAGACTAAAGTTTATGGTGCCGCATAAGCTCATGGACATTGTATAAGTCTGATTATTCATGTATGAGTTGAAATAAAGTCAGTATCCAGAAATATGTCACGATTTTTTTGTATTTGACACAAACTTTTCCCTCTCCGGAAGGAGTTTTCGCACATTTCGATAAATTGGTGTTAGATGTCGTGAGACAGGCTTCTGAAAAACCTATTTTACACCTATGACCAGATCTTTTTGCTCGTGAGCGACATGCTCGAGTGTTATGAGAATGTTTCTAGTTTATCTGAAAGTCAAACTAGTAAAAGTTGAATAAATAATACCAGGTTTTCAAGGTTACTAAAAGAATATATAAATATAAGTGTAGGTGACTTACTTCCGTGGCGCGGCTACAACCTCCCTGACTCGATTGATGCAGGTGGCAGTATCGGAGCAAAGAGATGCCACGGTTGGCAGTAAGAGCAGCGGGACAAGCATCACGACGTCATAAATCTACGTGGATTCATCCTGAATAAGGTTATCAGCTCATTATCAAAGTTTGAGAAGAGTACGGATATTAGAAACGACGTACTACTATCCAGACAGCTTCAAAACTTCATGATACAAAAAGTCGTGAGATTTATATAGGATTTTTTGTGTTCTTGCCCATTCACTGATATGCTGTACTTAAGTTTAATTTGAGCAGGATCTTGCTTTTACAAGGTAAAAAAGTTTAACTAGAGTCTAGATCACCAATGTTAATGAAATATGAGAAGACAAGCTCACTAAGGCCCCCAACGAGTCCCACAAGGATCTGTTTGAAAAACATTTTATTAAGGCATGAAAGTTGCTGTTCTGTAGCATCATTCGTTTTCTGCATAATAGAGGAAAACAAGTCTAGAACATCACTGATTTTTATGAAGATTTTAGGAAACTGATTTGAAAGTCTGCTGATAGCCACTGATCATGAAAGTTTTACCACGACGGCGCGACAACATACGATGATAAATCAAAATTATCTGGCACTATTTGATCAAGGGAGGCAACCGTCGCATGTTTGCCCTCTTAATCCACACATTTGCTTTTCACTACGTTCACATATCCAGATATCTTACGTGAGGAAGAAAATGTCGACAAATAATACGTCGCAAGAAATTGAAGTTATCTTGGAAAAAGTGAAAATCGTGCTGTTTCACGAGACTTCAATGATCATTTGCTTTTACAGTCTTTGATGAGATGCAAAATTCTTCGGTCAGGGAATAATCCATGCAAAAGGCAAGGTAATGTGGCTATTCAGGCCTTCTAAACTTCAGAGGGTGAATCTTGACGTTTGCCCTAACTATCCGCTTCACCACAAGTCAGGTCAATATCGATGCTAGCAAAGTAATTGTTAGATATTTGTTATTACCTTTGCCTTCAACTGTTTTAATAAACCTCGCTCAAAAACAGTATAATTCGACAATATAACATGCTCTGAGCCTTCTTACAAGTGCCATACTATGCCAAAAAAGCTTAAAACATGCTATCAGATTATCAGATTGTTATTCTTTGAGCGAGATCTCTATAAAGAGTTGAGAGTAAAGGTTTTATTCATTCTACCAGCCATAAGCGCTCGACTGTGGCCACTGCAATGTTGGATGATTTTATCACTCGGCATGCAGTAATTTGAATATTTCAGCGTAGATTTCTATATGAGTAGGGGTATACCTTCCTGCATGGGATCTGCTGACCGAACGGCACCGCTCCACTGACGAGCTTGAAAGGAGAAACATCTGCCTGGTACTGTATAAGTGTCATACTGAACTCATAAAAAGGCTCAAAACATGATATTCTAGTATCAGCTTTTGTTAGTTTCATAGTTGGCCAGGCACAGCTGATATGACAGATTGTGGAAATGGAACAAATCCAGTATATTCCCCACTTTCCATAACTGATGGTCACTAACGATTTCAGGCTGGACGCAGCTAATGTATTTTGGAATTACTTGGAAATATAATGTTTATGTAAAGAAAGAACACGAACAATCTAGTACATTTGTAAGGAAAAGCGAGAAAGCTTCAGTTAAGTCTAGAAATGTGAATTCATAGAAAAGAATAGTCCTAATGGATAACAGCTGCATGTTATGGATCATTTGGTCGGTAGTAAAATCTTCACAAAAACAACTGGACGAAATGAGATTGAAAATAATGGAATGCAACTCGAAAGCTAAGTGCTGCCGCATGAAAATGGACTAATGATTGCCAACTGTTGAGGCAAAGTGAGATTCCAAGCAACTGTATCGTGATATTTTCTCAGCGGCAATTCCTTATGTTATCAGCTTT